TTGCATTGAGTGAGATTAGTTTTCTTGGTATAAATAACACCAAAATACTCGAGGCTGTGCAGTGGTCTGGTTGAGGTAAACTGGAAATTTAAAAATGAAGTTACTCGTTGTTCTTTTAGGCCTTGTGTGCACCTTAGCCCATGGTAAGTTTTATTACAAACGTTTATTTATTTATTTATTTATTTATTTATTCCCGAGGAAGGGAAATCTTCAAAAGACACCCGCTGAAGGGAGATAGTGTCGGATTTTTACCGATTAAAAACCCCTCCTCGAGTGGGGAAATAAACCCTGAGGGTTACTCATCCCCGGGAAGAGAATGGAAGGTTGGGATTTGGGAGAAGATTGAGAAGGGAAAATGGTTAAGCGTGGGGAGATTCGGGGGGGCGGAGAACTGTCGGAGTAGGTAGTCCACCACAGTAATTTACGATTAGAATTATATCACCACTTACGTCTCTCGTTCTCCCACTATTTATATCGTTGGTCTTGTGTCAACTATATCCTGTGGGACGCTGATCGGTTATATAATTATTTTCCTGGGTATTTCCGAAAACTTCTCGTAAGTTTATTTCGGATTCCGCCGGTATCGATCACCCACGGCATTCCTTCAATATATTTATTATACTAAAATGAGCACAGAAAATAATTTTGTATTTTCTGATTATACTACATTTCTTACCACCCTGCATCACATAAGTATAAAGTGTTCCCACATTAAATGCAACTCTGCTCTTTTCGTGTAGGAAACACACAAAAATTTAATGGTAATTGGGGTAATATAAATTCTGTTTATGTACTTCCAAAATAATACAGAATCATACAAAGTGCTTGACCATTAAAATTCTTAGATAGTAATTACCTATAATTTATTACATTGTTCTGAAGTTCAATTTCTTATCAGTTCAAACACGACAGGTAAGGACTTTACAAAATTCTACTTCTGCAGTTTGTTTTCTTGTATTCAGAAAGGAAGGACTTCACCCCTTAAACCTAGCAATTTGTGTGTGAATTTCTCGAAAAATTCAACATCCCTTTACTATTTGCGATCTCATTTTCTCCCATCTTCACTCATATTTCTGTTTATAATACATTTGTCTATATAATTAACCATTACTGTTCTCTTACTTTTTCTAATATCTCCACATTTCTAACTTCTTCTACCCACAGCATTATCATCATCACCCACTTGTAATATCGCATTTTTATATAATATACTAAACATTATCATCATCATCATAAGGTCATCAGTCCTAAGGCTAGTTGGACACGTACCTCCACTCTTTCCTATCCTGAGCTAAACTTCGCATTTCCTTAAAATAGAACAGCCCACATCCTTAACTATCTGTGAACAGTAATCTAATCTAGGTCTATCTCTACCCCTCTTGACTCCTGTTTCTGCCTCTAATACGTCTCTGACTAGACCTTCATGCCTGAGAAGGTGTCCTACCAACCTATCTCGCCTATTTTTTATTGACATCCATAGAGTCCTCTGTTCTCCTATTCTTTCCAATACCTCTACATTTCTAACCTTTTCTACCCACGATATCCTCATCATCCGCCTATAACACCACATTTCGAACGCTTCTAACCTTTTCTTTTCCGCCGCTCCCACTGTCCATGTTTCGCACCCGTACAACGCCGTGCTCCAAACATACACCTTTAACAACCTTTTTCGAATTTCTAAATTAACCGTTCGCGAGCATAGAAGTGACTTCTTTTTATTAAAGGCGATACGACCCTGCGCTATCCTCTGCTTTATATCCCTACTACTCCTTTCATCCTGACTTATCTGACTTCCTAGGTATCTAAAATCAGCCACTTCTTTCTTTATTTTTTTCGTCTCCTATCTTTATATTCGCTCTTTCCCTACTTTTTCTTCCCTTCCATACCAGTATTTTAGTTTTACTTTTATTTATTTTCATACAGTACTGATCTGTCAGTACCGCTTCCGTTTTATTTAAAGCTATCTCTTGCTAGATGCTAGTACTGCTATATCATCTGTAAATCTAAGCATACTAATCTTTTGCGCTCGCACGTCTATCCCTACAGTTGTATTGTCTTTAATGAACTAAACATTAATAAACACCTTTTTTGCATTTATGTTTTTGTCAGTTATACCAATGTATATTTAAGAATTATAAGTATTCAAAATTATTGTCATTAATTAATGTGCAGCAGTCTATTTAATTACTTTAAACTTCCATCTTTTGTTAATCTATCCTTTTTATAAAATCGCGCCGCAGTTGAAACTGAACATGGTGAATTAATTTTCCAGATGTTGGTACTGCAAATCACAACAACAAGCTATCGTTACATAACTTTTTACATAAACATTACGGGACGAATTGATTTTCTACTTTCATTAATACGATTTCGTGGTTTTACATAGAAAGGCACAGGTGAAAATGGATTGCTCCAAATACAATCTTTAACAAAAGTTTCTTGCTTATTGTAAAAGACACGATCTAATATGCAATACGTTCTTATAGAGCTAGGGAAAATCATTACGCAAATTTTACACGTGTATTTTCTTTTCTGTTACCTCTTCTAATTAAACGATAGATAATGTTTTATACGTATGTTTTACAAAATATAAAACAATTGATACATTTGTTTGGAGATAGTTAATTGTTATTATTGTGACCGGCACGAATAAGAATAAAAGTAATATCTAAATACAATACACGTAACATATATGTATCTTATCAGCTACATTGTAGCCAAACTGGATAAATATTTGAAACTAAACAATACAACCAAAAGTCCTTATTCAGAGAGAATATATAAAGTCTCTCCGCATTATCTACTATAACAGTAGAAATTATATAAACATTAATGAATAATAGGGAATTTTAATTTTACAAGAATATAACTGATAGATAATATTTACCATTATTGCATTTTTAACAAAACAATCGTATGTTCGATATGGCAGTTGATCATTTGCGTTTTGTGGAAAAAAGATATTAAAATAGATGCATCCTATATATGTAACTGATGCAAGATACATATTTAATTAATATTAAATCAATCAATATTATCAATATTTACTCTTTATTAGTTTTCTAGCATACTCATTCCAGTTATAGATCTTTTACACACAATCATTGAATTAATTTAATTTTTTTTGTTTCAATTAAAGTGGTTTATCAATTGTTTATTTTAATCAGAGAAAACTACTAGGTTCTTGCTTTACAACGGGAGAAACAATTTGTTGTAGAAACTATGAAGTTGAGAAAAAGTTCAAAACGCGATCTTGGTACTAAATTAATATGAACAGTATTGGTTAGTATTGCATATGCAGTATCTACAAGAAGGTAGGTACTTTAAAAGGCTGAAGAAAACCTCAAAATAAACAAAAAACCTGTATCAAGGTAATCGACCCTGTGATTGTTAAAAGCAACCCGTTATGGTTGAGTTATGACAAAATTCAGGTTAAAGAAGAAAATTTCTGTTTTCCGTCAAATATTTTCAATTTTTGTTTTGGAGATGTCACAGTTGTTAAGTGCACCCCTAATAACCCTTACAATCTCAGACCACTATGTCTTTTTCTACCTTAACCTTATGAGTGCTTGAGTGAAAATTTATGGTGAGAACAATTCCTCTTCAAAATTTGAGTAATTGATTATCGCTGTTTGACTTTTTCGGAGAATATCAATAGAAATTCGAGACGATTTATATTGTAAAATTCACACTTAAACTTCAACTTCAAATAAATTGGAGTTTAATTGTTTAGAAAACTATATACCTAATACATGTCATGAGAACAAAAAATATTCGACTTTTGGAGCTTTATTGTCATCATCAGTCTAATAAAACTTGTACAAACGTTGTACGTTGCACGCCAAATTAATATTATGCAACTAGTTAAATTGGATCGTGATTTTGTTGATGAATAAAAATTCACTGTTTTATTTAAAACATTTACTGGAACTTCTATTCTAATCAATAAAAACTAAACTTCAACGTCTAAATTAAAACTATCAAAATTCGTCCGACAATGGAACTACTTTGGATGGTTATTACTGGAGCAAAACTTACTTGTTTTGAAAGATGAAATCTGAATGTCTAATTCTTAATTTTTTTTTGTTTATGTTTTCGTGGAAGAGGGGAAATCTTCAGAAGACACCCAGCCGTCCGTACGACTGGGTAGTGTCGGATTCCCGGGGAAGAAGTCCTCGGACCTACCGACTAAAACCCCTCTACCTCAGGCCGTTTTAGGACCAACTAGGGTCCTCTTCAGCCGTCTAATTCTTAATGTACTATGCAACTATATCTACAAACAGGTAAATTGGTGAATATTATTTTAGCGGGGGTGAATAACTAGAAACTGAATATAACACAGAATATGGAAAGCCCTATCATTAAATGTGAGCACAGTCGCCATACAACATTTCTTTCCAGTTTATAAGGGTTCTGTGAATACCCAGGTAAAATGTAAACTGGTCCTGTTGTTACTAACTTAGACACTATTGCAAATATGAATTTAAATTAAAAATATTTCATGTACAAAAAAAGAGAAAAACTTAGGATTTAACAAAACTTTTCGTCTTTTGTATCCCGCCCTCCCTATATCGAGTTTTTTGTGCACCCTCCGCAGTCTTAAACATGCTATTTATATATGTATAAATATAATTAATAGCTACAGGTGTTGGTGATTAAAATTCCACAATCAACAACAATGAAATTTATGTTTGTTTATAATTGTATCCTAATTTTAATAAACTTTTGTAAATTTCTCTAATTTTATGTTCAGTGATATACAGATTTTTTGTCGTATTTTATAATGATATTTTTGTAAACATGTTAAACCTTGCTCAGAGTCCATGATCTTTTATTATAATAATAGGTGCAGATACCTGTGTTTCGGTAAGCTTACGGTAGGCTATTTTAATATTGTTCTTGTCAGTAAGTACATATTACAGAAAATGTTAAGCCACATAGCAAAGTGCGCATGTTCAAAGCCACTTTGATGGAGTGGTTCGCTGCAGCGGTAACTTGGATCAATTCAATTGTCAGTTGTGCAACAAAAGCGAAGTGTTGAAGCGAAGACACATTGTTGTTTCTAATGTGGCATTATATGATAAAGTTAAATCAACACAGTATTTGTTGAATTATTGAAAGAACCTTATCACACAAGTGCATCATTTACGTTTGTTTACGATCAACCGTTGGTGTAATAATAAGGATTTAATTTAAAAAATGTAAGTGAAGTTTTATTATTTCATGGATTATTACAATGAGAAACAAAGCTGTTAACTGAACATTTTATTAATGCCTTGTCATTCTTTTATTTATTCATTTGTTTATACTTTAATACCTTTTACATCTCTTGGCTAATTTCGGTTTTATTTATTAGAATAAACATGATTTGAATGTTTAACATTTAGAAACTTAAGTAAATTTTGATCAAATCATATAATTTACTTTAAGACAATTGGTTCATCCATAATCCATAAAGATTCCGAATATTTTCAGTTTTCTTAGTTGATCGATTATTTACAACCAAATTTAGAAAACGAAGTTTTCATGCTACAAACCGTATCATGATGGATAGAATAGGTACCTAAAATTTTTTAACGTATTTTGTGTGAAAAATGGTAAACCACAATTGTTATGAAACTTTTTAGGAAAAATATAGGTTGTAGGCTTGTAGGCTTCCAAAATATAACAAGCGAAAAATTTGTCGTATTCGATTTCCTTTTCGGTGCGATCTTTTCCGCCTAATATACCAATGACATAAGAATAAAAATTTCTATCACCATTTTTGATATAATCAGTGAGACATTTCATAATAACGTGCTACCTACTTCTAACAATGAAGAACAAAACTGATTTAGTTTTAAGTCGAAACGAAAAAACAAAACACGAGGCGTCACAAAAGTTACTATTATTATAATATGCAAATATACGATGAATGTTTCAAAAATGGCATTACGTAAAATAATAATAGTGATTGTTTAATAAATAGAAATATCCTGAAACTAGTAGTATTTAAGTCAGATGCAAAATTAGAAAAAGCGTGAATAGATCAGTGGTAGGTATTAGGAATTCTCTCCTAACTAAGCAGAGTGCCTATTTTCTTCCCTCTACTGATTCAACACTTTTTTCTTTTAATTTGGTAACATGTAAGTATAGTGAATCATTAATTTGACAAAATGTTTTGAATTGAAAATGATCTGGAAACTAATACAAGAACAAAATCTAACAATAAAACTATGTATGTCAGATCATCTGCTTTTTATGACTAATATTGGTCAGTTTATCCAAGGTTTATTTTAGGTTTAGCGCTGAAGATGTTGTTAATAAAAAAAAAAGAAATATTCTAATTAATATTAACTTATAGAGATGTATACGTACATATATTTACTCCAAATTAAAGATGTTTGGGAGGTACAATTGGAGATTAGAGTGCATAAAATTAGAAAATCGTGATTAATTAGATTTTGCAGCATATCATGAGGTAAATAAATACTATCTATACTAAAAAAAAAGTATACGGTTTGAGAGAAAATTTGGAATTTGACCAAAAACGTTGAATAAAATAAGAAATAACGAATAATCTGGAAAATTTTTAACTGACTTGGCAGTAAATATGCGTTGATTTCAACTTCGAAACAAATAAATATTTAGTTTCAATCTTTACTAATAATGAGCGTAAAACTTTTTAATATGTTTAAATAATAATTAAAACTTTAAAATTGCATTTATTTCAGATAATTATAAATATTATCATTATATTATCAAGTAAAAACGAGATTTTCAGCTAATTTTTCATTTTTTCCTCGATAACCATTTAGTGAATTTGAATAACCTTACGCTAAAGTTCAGAGTTCAAGTTACTTATTATAAAAGTTTGAAATTTCTGGTAGCTTTTTTTCTGTTAATAAAAATAAATTTAATCTGTTCGGTTAACGAATCTCCATAAAATAACGTGAAAAATCACAATTTTTTAAAATTTCAATAACATTTTAACGGTTTAGTGGATCGATTTGTAATTTTTACAGGAGTTTTAGAATTGAATGAGGAACGTTCTTCCAAATTTTTATTTGTCTTGTAGCATTTTGACATACCTCCCAAAACATCCTTAAACGAAAGCCTACATTTTATGTTGTTGTAAATGTTGTTACGTTTTTCGAAACATGTATCTACATTCGTAACTGTAAAATCCAATAGAACAATATTCAATTCCTCTACCAATGAAATACACAATTAATTTTATGTTAGATATATGCACTTAAGCCGTATTTTTTGTTCACGTGTGACCTCTAACAGATCTACACGTTTTTATGTTAATGAAACTATTAATACAGATTGTTTATCTCATTAAAGTCCTTTAATAAAAAGGAGCGTCTCTAACAGTATATGTAGAAATAGCCTGTCAGCTACAGAATAACCTTGAATCTATTTTTCATTGCTAACTTTGGATTAAATAAATAATGTATTTAGGTATGTTACGACATGGCGTTCCATTTTTCCATTTATGGGAATGGCTATCGTTTATTTTATTTGAATATCGTCGGAGTGTTTTCATTGTATTAACATATAACATACCTACATGTAATAATCATATGAATGACACATAAACGAAATATAACACCTTACATATATATATATTGTATATATGCTTTTATTTACCTTGCGACGTTCCATGTTTCATAAAAATTTTGTCAATTTGAATCATTTCCCGATATTGGAACAATTTGTATGTGCATGAATGGTCCTAAAAATTAAGTTGATTCTGCAAGATTAATATGGTCTTAGTTCTTGCGGTCTTCGTCTTTTTTTTTCGATATTACGCCATGGATTTGGTCTTGGTCTAGATTATTTACTAGTCTTGATTGGTCCTGATCGTGCAAGTTTTAATAAACAACGTACCGAAACCATTCGTAGTACAGTAGAACCTCTTTAAGTCGAACTTTGGTAAGTCGAAAACGTCCAAAACTCTAAAAAATGTTTTATTCCCTTCCCTTCAAAAACCAAAACCTCCATTACTCGAAATCTCAACCCTCTATTAGTCGAAATAATCAGTGAGTCCCTGCAAGCTATTTTGGTATATATATTTTCCCTCTATAACTCAAAAAATTAAATTGGACCTTTGTATCTCGAACAGAGCAATGTTTTATTTTACAACTTTTGCAACTCGATAATTTGAAACTTATTAGGTCTATTTATTATTTCACTTCTCTAACTCAAAATTAGTAAGAATAAATCTTAACCTCTACAAGTCGAATCAAAATCCGCCATAAGTCGAAAACTATAAATCGAATTTTTTGGTGTATTCCTTGATGTTCGAGTTATAGAGGTTCTAGTGTATTAGATTCTGATAAAGAACTGATCAGATGACTGGATAGAATACTATACTTTGATCAGAAACTGATCAGATAGGCGGATAAAGGCAAGGGATCAGTTTCTGGTCAGATGACTGGACTAATGGATATAGTACTATTAAAAACTGATCATAATCCGGGTTCCGTGAACTAATTTCTAGTCGGAGTAATGTTTATGCATATATACATTAAATTAACCCGAATGTGTTGTTATAGTTGTTAGAAATTATTTATTATCCTTCATTTATAGTGAATATTAAGGTCCTTACATTTCCAGTCGTTACAGAAACTTTTTGTTTTATGTATATCCGTTTTCTTGTCTTTGTTACCATAAAGAAATAAACATTTATAATTTACGGGACATATAAGTTATATCCAAAGTATCATCCCTAATTATCTAGAGATTAGGATTTAGTGTGTATTTAGTTTAGCTCAGCAGAATTCGTTTTGATTATCATTTAATCGTTTAACAGTTAACAGTTTAGTCACCTGCATATGAAATTATCATTTACGTTCATAAATTATGAGCATCCTACTTAATTACTATAATTACCGTGACAAATAGATAGGTAGGTGACATACTAGAAAAGTAAGAAACCTCACGACACATTGATGGCTCTATTAACCTGCTTGCTGTTTCGATACCTACTTTACAATGCCGTGTTTGGACGTATGTATATAAAAAAATAGCACGGAAGTAAGGATTAGGATGTTAACGAAAAGGCTGAGGCTTCCATGGTCTTCATTATATGATAAAAATTGTATAATTTGAGCTTACTCTTCTTAAGTTAGTCCTAGAATGGACCCACCAGCTAGTGTGGTTGGTATCTTCAGGAAAATCCTTCGATGGGATTGTACTGAACGTACCAACTACAGCCGCTGGCGAAATGTCACGTACATTCTCCCCCAAAAGCTTCTGTCCATAAAATTCAACAAGTATATCTATTTTTACTTTTAATTAGTAAAAAAAATATTTGATTTACCAAAAATTCGTGCCAGCTAGAAAAGCGTAGACTTTTAATCAGACCAATTGGTTTAAATTGATGGTCGCCTGTGTTACTTACATCAATAGTAGTGAAAATTAAGAGCACTCTCAGATACACTGATCAATTTAAGTCAATGCAGTTGTAGAAATTGCTTATAAATAGTAAAGTATTATTGTGAATAAATAACTAAAGATCATATAGTAAGTAAGGAGATCACATAGCAATAATATAAACAATAATAAATATAGTCGTATTTTACTTAATTACCACTTCTTTATTCAATACAAATTAGAAATAAATTAAAATAAAATTCATGAAATATTTTTATTGTGAATGGCTCTTCCAGCTTAAAAGTTTGTCGACTCCTGGGTGTAGGTGTGACACAAAATTTCATTTACGAATGTATGTGATAGAATCATGAAGAATACTATCAAAATATTCTGTAAAACATACTAACGAAATACACTAGCTTTCCCGGTTTTCAAAACCATTTACAATGTATATTCATCAGTTACAGTTTATTGAAAAAATCATTTTTGTACTCATTACTGAATTACACATTTTGACCTACCCAGTATCATCACCATCATGATCATAAGGCCGTCAGTCCAAAAACTGGTTGGACACGTACCTCCACTCTTTCTTATTGTAAGCTAATCTTCGCACATCCTTATTTGCGAACAGTAATCTAAGCTAGGTCTACCTTTAACCTTCCTAATTCCTGTTTTTTAACAACCTTTTTCGAATTTCTAAATTAACCGTTCGCGAGCATAGAAGTGACTTCTTTTTATTAAAGGCGACACGACTGCTTTATATCCCTACTACTCCCTCCGTCCTGACTTCCTAGTTATCTAAAATCAGCCACTTCTAATTTTTCGCTCTTTCCCT